AGAAGAAGAAGAGAAAGAAAGAAAGAAAGAAAGAAAGAAAGAAAGAAAGAAAGAAAGAAAGAAAGAAAGAAAGAAAGAAAGAAAGAAATTAGGTGTTGTCAGACTTGTCTTGCTTTGCAACTTTGCATAGGTTTGGTTTTCTAGCTCTCTTGTCTAAAATGATATTGTTCAAAGAATAACTGTAATGAGTTTAAGATATTATTAGATTTATCTCACTTGAAACCAATCTATATATAGTTCTTTATTCATCTAGTTAAAAAGGAAGTCTCTACCTAAATTCATTTAGCATCATCTACCCACATTGAAACTCTCTTTGGTTTGCAAAAAGATAGAATTACACTACATTTGCCTGGTAGCAGAGAAGCTAGTATTTTAGAGCTCTAGTACCAGCTTTGGGCTCGATACAAGGGACTTTACGGAGTAGCTGTTTGACCTTGGGAGGAAAATAAGGGAAAGGAAAGGGCAACATTTCTGAGGTAGGCTGCTGTATCTGCTACCATGCTTATGCCTCACCACGACCTCGGATACAGGCGCTATTGCTGTACTGTACAGGTGGAGAAAGCAAAGTTTTAGAGGATAAGCAACTTTGACCACACGGCTCTCAAACGGTCAAATCAAAATTGGCCTCTGAGGCTTGCCAGTTCCAAAGCCTGTTTTCCCTAGAATACCACAGTTAAGGTCTCTGTGGCTTTGTTGGTTTTATCAGCTAAACTATGAGCTGAATATAGAAGTGTGAGCTCCAATAGCAAAGGCCACACTCCTGGTATCTATCCAGTAAGGGAAGGGCAGGCAGAATAAACAAGTTTCCCACCCTGGGAATCTAGGACCTTCTTAAAAATATCAATCAGAGGCTTAGAGATTTTTTTTTTTTTTTAAGAGTGGGTGGGAGGAGTTTCTGACCAGTTTTGCAGTGCAACTCATTTGAGTACATAAAAAATCTGAACAGCAAGGATGTGTGTGGGCTGTTGTGAGGACTAAATGAGATGATGTTGTGAAAACAGTTGGCAAATTAGGAAGCACTGAGCAGGCGCAGGGCTTGTTTTTTGGGTGTTTGGGGGAGAGGGGAGTTCAGTGGAGTTAATTTATGCACTCCAGGCTTTTAGTCTTTTCTGTCATAGACTGTCCCATTTCCCCCCCAGAGACCCTCCATTGGTGTTTCCGGCTCATAGGGGACACAAATCAGAGGCAGGCAGTGACACCCTGCCTGGTGGCCACTGTGGTGGTCCCTGGCCCTCAGCACCTCCCCAGATGGCGCATGGCAGAAGCAGGCCTGAGGGCTGAGTGCACCTTCCCACCTTAGTTTGAAATCAGGAGTCAAAAACTCAAACTCACAGGAGAAATCCTGCAGCCTTTGACTGACTTTGCTCTTCATCCTCAGGCGAGATATCTGACCTCTCTGTGACTCCTGCAGCAATAAGGCAGGTGAGGGAAGCCTCCTTTTCTCCTGTCAGGGTACTGACAAGGCTGAGAGGAATTGTTTCTAGAAATGCTCCAGAGAAAAGTGCTTAGCATCAGGACTCTGTAGCCCATGACAAAGGCTGGGGGTACCTTGCCGTGTGTC